CTCTAATTTTGTTGAAATTTGGCAAGCAGCTAGAGTGGAAAGTTGTCTTTAATTTTATAGACCAAGAAATGTTCTCAACATATTTACGCTTGTGTTGTAAGCGTTTGATAAGTTAAAATTGAAAATTAAAAAGGTTGTGTACACTTTTGTTCAAAATTAATGGTTGCATGAAAAAGCTCATTTTCCATTCTATGTAATGTTTAAAATTTCATCTAAATATATTCCATATCTTGGAAGTTATTAGCAAATTAGAAAAACTGTTATTTAACCATATAGTTAAGCATAAAACGCTTACCACTGCTTCAGTAATACTTGCATAACTTTTACACTACTGCGTGTATTAACTTGAAATTTCACATGGAGTGAGGAAATGAAATGGCCTTTTAAATAGTGAAAAGATTATGTTGAAAAACTCAAAGGATTAACTGTTATAATCGATTCCCTGATTAAATCATTCAGTTAACTTAAAAGGCGTGGCAGTTGGCGAAACATTTTCAGAAATACATCTATGAAATAGTCCGCATTCCATTCTAGCCTGTGTTAAAATTTCATAGAAATATACCGCATAGTTTTTAAAATATTCAAAAATTATTAAAAATATGCATTATCCCTACTGTTAGACTTTAAACGCTTACAACTGTTTAAGTTATGTTGTAATAACTTTGTCATTGTTTAAGTTATTTAAGTAAGTGGGCGTGGCAGTGGGCGTAAAAAGTTTATTGTGTAAGAAAGCTTATATTACAAGCTTTTAGATGAATCTAATCTCATTTAAATATTCCCGTAATTATGGAAGTTATAAGCAAAATTGTAAAATTGTCTTAGCGTAATTTACTTTCTATTAGATGCTGTTCACCTATTACTTCATGGAAATTTGAAAATTTCATTTTTTGCCAACTTTTTGGGAAATTTAAGGATTTTGCTTTTTTCATCATATTTTCTAAAATTTTGAACCAAATTGAATGAAATTTGGCCTGCAGCTAGAGTGGAAAGTTGCCTTTAATTTTATAGACCAAGAAATGTTCTCAACCTATTAACGCTTGTGTTGTAAGCGTTTAAAAAGTTAAAATTGAAAATTTGAAAGGTTGTGCAGACTTTTGTTCAAAATGAGTGATTGTATGATAAAGCACATTTTCCATTCTATCTAATGTTTAAAATTTCATCTAAATATACCCCATATCTTGGAAGTTATTAGCAAATTTGTGAAACAGTTATTTAACATATAGTAAAGCATAAAACGCTTGCCACTGTTTCAGTTATACTTGCATAACTTTTACACTACGGCGTCTATTAACTTAAAATTTCACATGGAGTGAGGAAATGAAATGTCCTTTTATATAGTGAAAAGATAAAGTTGAAAAATTTAAAGGATTCAGTGTTATAATCGATTTCGTGATTAAAGCATTCAGTTAACTTAGAGGGCGTGGCAGTGGGCGGAACATTTTCAGAAAGACATCTATGAAATAGCCCGCATTCCATTCTGGTGGTATATTTCATAGAAATATACCACAAAGTTTTTAAAATATTCAAAAATTAGTAAAAATATGCATTATCCCTACTGTTAGACTTTAAACGCTTACAACTGTTTCAGTTATGTTGTAATAACTTTGGCATTGTTTAAGTTATCAACATGAAATTTCACTTGGAGATAGTAAATGAAATGGTCTTCAAGATTGTGGAATAAGAAAGTTGGAAAAGTATTTATTTGCAGAGCTAGAATCGTTTTTGCACCTTAAACGCTTATTTATGTAAGTGGGCGTGGCAGTGGGCGGAAAAAGTTTATTGTGTAAGAAAGCTTATATTACAAGCTTTTATATGAACCTAATTTCATTGAAATATTCCCGTAATTAAAGAAGTTATAGCAAAAATGTAAAATTGGCTTAGCGGAATTTGCTTTCTATTAGATGCTGTTCACCTATTACTTCATGGAAATTTGAAAATTTCATTTTTTGCCAGCTTTTTGGGAAATTTAAGAATTCCGCTTTTTTCATCATAATTTCTTTAATTTTGAAGCAAATCGGATGAAATTTGGCCAGCAGCTAGAGTGGAAAGTTGTCTTTAATTTTATAGACCAAGAAATGTTCTCAGCCTACTTACGCTTGTTTTGTAAGCGTTTGAAAAGTTTAAATTGAAAATTAAAAGGGTTGTGCAGACTTTTGTTCAAAATGAGTGATTGTATGAAAAAGCTCATTTTCCATTCTATTATCTAATGTTTAAAATTTCATCTAAATATATCCCATATCTTGGAAGTTATTAGCTAATTAGTAAAACTATTATTTAACCATAGAGTTAAGCATAAAACGCTTACCACTGTTTCAGTTATATTTGCATAACTTTTACACTACTGCATCTATCAACCTAAAATTTCACATGGAGTGAGGAAATGAAATGGCCTTTTAAATAGTGAAAAGATTAAGTTGGAAAACTCAAAGGATTCAGTGTTATAATCGATTTTTTTATTAAAGCATACAGTTAACTTAGAGGGCGTGGCAGTGGGCGTAACATTTTCAGAAGGACATCTATGAAATAGTCCGTATTCCATACTAGCCTGTGTTAAAATTTCATAGAAATATACCACATAGTTTTTAAAATATTCAAAAATTTGTAAAAATATGCATTATCAATACTGTTAGACTTTAAACGCTTAAAACTGTTTCAGTTATGTTGTAATAACTTTGGCATTGTTTAAGTTATCAACATGAAATTTCACTTGCAGATTGTAAATGAAATGGTCTTCAAGATAGTGGTAAAAGAAAGTTGGAAAAGTATTTCTTTGCAGAGCTAGCAGTGTTTTTGCTATTAAAACGCTTATTTAAGTAAGTGGACGTGACAGTGGCCGGAAAAAGTTCATTCTATAAGAAAGCTTATATTACAAGCTTTTATATGAACCTAATTTCTTTTAAATATTCATTTAATTAAGGAAGTTATAAGCAAAATTGTAAAATTGTCTTAGGGGAATTTGCTTTCTATTAGATGCTGTTCACCTATTACTTCATGAAAATTTGAAAATTTCATTTTTTGCCAACTTTTTTAGAGATTTGATAAGGATTTTGCTTTTTTCTTTATAATTTCTTTAATTTTGAAGCAAATTGGTTGAAAGTTAGCAGAGAGCTAGAAATTGTCTATCATGTTAAGTAATCAAAATTTCTTTTTTACTTTTTAACGCTTGTGTTGTAAGCGTTTTTATGTTAAATCTTTAAAATTTTTAAAATTGTCTTAAGATTAGGGCAAACATTTTACATGTGTGTATAGAACATTTCTTAGTATATTTAACGATACAAATTTCATGTGAATCTAGCTTATACCTTGAAAGTTATAGCTAAATTAATAAAACTGTTCATGGGCCCTATAGTTAAGCCTAAAGCGCTTAATACTGTATTGGTTATAATAGCATAACTTTTGAACTACTGCAGCTATCAACTTGAAATTTCATATAATAATAGAAAATTTAAAGGACTTTTTGATGCTAAAGAAATAATGTTGGAAATTTGTTTAGTTCTCTTAGTATAAAGAGCTTTAGTTAGAGCTTTTAGTTAACATGTTGCCTAGCATGTGTTTTTAGTGTCTAAATAATAAAAAATAACTCAAAAACGAGTAAATTTATGGAAACAAAATTAACTTAAAGAAATAGAAAACCAAGTATATGTAAATTTTTAAAATTGTTTTTTATTTAATAATTATTTTTATAAAAAAAAAATTAATTTTAATACAGCTTAAAATTTACAAAAATAATAATAAAAAATTAATAAAAAAAAAATGTTCACAAGAAACTATAAAATTCTTTTTGCTTACTTTTTGTTTTCATTAAAAACTTATTTTTTTAATTTAAAGAAAATTAATTACTTTTAAGCAAAAAAATTTCTTTCAAAAAAATTTCATTAAAAAAAATAATAAAACAAACAATAATAAGAAAAATAATTCACATTTGATATGATTAACTTTAAAAAAAAAGGATTTTCAAATTAAAAACTAATGTAGAAGAAAAAAAAAACAAACAATTAAACAAAAATTATATTGAATAGTTGTTGTTGCTGTTTGTTTACAATTTGAGATGTTAACTTAGAAAACTAGTTTATCAAATAAAATTATATAATAATAATTAAACATAAATCACAAAAAAATTATTAATAAAAAGAAAGAGTTTTTTTTTAAATTTAAAGTTTTAAAAATATGTTTTTACCACAAATAAACAAAAAAAGACAAACATATTTTGTAGTTAAATTAGGAAAAATAAAGAATTGTTTAGGAGTTTAAAATGTATTAAGTTTTCTATAACTTCTGTTTAAAGAAGACTTGTTTCTTTATCAGCTAAAGTAGTTTTATCATATATTTGTATTTATGCTATAATTTAATTTGTTTAAAAGCACATTATATTTTTTATTTAGTTTTAAGTTGTATTTTTATAAAATATATGTCTTATTTGTCATATATTTTTCTTCCTTTTTCATATATAAAATAGTATAAAAAAAACTGCAAATTATTACATTTTTTCTCAAATTTTGTTTTAACTAATTTACTTATTTATATGTAAAAAAAATTCTAAATTTTTAAGAATGTATTTTTTTTTTTTAAAATTTTAACCTTTCAGTTTATAAACTATAACGTAAATTTATCAGTTTTAGGCTTAAACACTATTTACATACTGTAGTAGTTTTTTTAATGTTATATTAAATATGTTCAGTATATTATTAATGTTATTTTATATATATATAAAAAAAAAGAAAAACAAATTAATTTCTTTTAAACACTTATATAATGTTTAATTAATTTGTTTAAGTTATTATCCAAAATTTCAAAAATTATAATTGTTTATAGTTAAACAGTTCTTATTGGTTTTTTTTTGCTAAAGAATTTTAAATTTAAGTTGTCAAAATTGTTATGTTTTATATCATATATATATAAAGTTATATACTAATAATAATAATATTCTGCTAACTTAGTACAATCTTTTTTATTTATGTATTATAATGTTTTCAATTTGTATTGTTATTATTATTTATATCTAATAAATATTTAACTTCATCAGTGCTTGTATCTTGGCATTTTTTTTTCTTTTAAATATATATTTATACTTATTTATAAATAAATTAAATATTATGCTTATTGTTTTTTTTTATTATAAATTTATCTTTAAATAAATTTATAATCTTTTTAAGCTTATGATGTTGTTTTGAGTGTTTTGTTAAGTTGTAATGTATTATGTGAGATGTGACAGGAGCAAAGAAGTTAATTTAAATTTTAAATTAAAAGAGAAAAAAAAAACGAAACAAATGTATTGATTTAATCGGTGAGTGTTTGTGCCACTAAAGCCAGCTGCTCTTTGAGGACACGGAATGATGGACGATCTTCAGGACTATGAGACCAGCATTTTTTCATGACCTGTAAGGGGGAAAAAATATAAAAAAATTAAATATAAATAATAATAAGTTGTTAAAAATTTTAATTCGAATTTTTATACATATTTTAAAAAGCTGAAATGTTATATAGTTATCCATCCATTATCTCTTTAACTATACGATCTATTATCTATTCTATTCATTATATTAATTCTATCTATTCTATCCACTCTATATGTTTTTTATCTATATTGTGTATTCTATTCATTCTATCTATTCCATTTAGTCAATCTGTTCTACATATTCTATCCATTCTATATATTCTAGCTATTATATCTTTTCTATATATTCTATCCTTTCCTTCCATTCTATCTATTCTATTTGTTCTATCTATTCTATTGATTCTATCTACTCTACTTGATCTATATATACTGTCTATTCTATCCATTCTATCTTTATTCCTATTCTATATATTCGTTCTACTCTATTCATTCCATCTTATTTTATTTTGTCTATCTCTTCTATCAATTCTATATATTTTATTTATTCCGTCTATTCTATTTGTTCTAACTATTCTAACCCTTCTATTTATTCCATCTATTCTATATATTCCGTCTATTAGATCCATTCTATCTATTCGATTGTTCTATTCTATCCATTGTATTAATTCTATCTATTATATCCATTCTATCTATTATATTTATTCCATCTATTCTATTTGTTCTATCTATTTTACAAATTCTGTCTATTATATCTCTTCTATCTATTCTATATATTCCGTGTATTCTATCCATTCTATCTGTTCTATTTAGTCTATCTATTCTATATATTCCGTATATTCTATCTATTCTACTTAGTCTATCTATTCTTATATATTCTACATATCTATCTATCTATCTACCTATCTATCTATCTATCTATCTATCTATCTATCTATCTATCTAATCTATCTATCTATCTATCTATCTATCTATCTATCTATCTATCTATCTATCTTCTATCTATCTATCTATCTATCTATCTATCTATCTATCTATCTATCTATCTATCTATCTATCTATCATCTATCTATCTATCTATCTATCTATCTATCGATCTAACAAATATCTACTACCCTATCTATCTACTATCTATCTATTATCTATCTATCTACCATCATCTATCTATCTATCTATCTATCTATCTATCTATCTCTCTACCTACCTACTATCATCTTCTATCTATCTTCTATCTATCTAATTATCTATCTATCGACTATCACATCTATCTATCTATCTATCATCTAACTACTAAATCTACTATCTATCATCTATCTACATCTATCTATCTATCTATCTATCTATCTATCCTATATCTACTATCACTATCATACTATCCTATCTATCTATCCTATCTATCTATCTATCGATCTTCTATCTATCGATCATACTAATCGATCATCATCTATCTATCTATCTATCTATCTATCTATCTGCTATCTATCTATCTATACTATCTATCTCTCTATCTATCTATCTACTCTAATCGATCTATCTATCTATCTATCTATCTAGCTAAGCGATCTATCATCTCTATCTATCTATCTATCTATCTATCTATCTATCTATCTATCTATCTATCTATCTATCTATCTATCTATCTATCTATCTATCTATCTATCTATCTATCTATCTATCTATCTATCTATCTATCTATCTATCTATCTATCTATCTATCTATCTATCTATCTATCTATCTACTATCTATCTATCTATCTATCTATCTATCTATCTATCTATCTATCTATCTATCTATCTATCTATCTATCTATCTATCTATCTATCTATCTATCTATCTATCTATCTATCTATCTATCTATCTATCTATCTATCATCTATCTATCTATCTATCTATCTAGCTATCTATCTATCTATCTATCTATCTATCTATCTATCTATCTATCTATCTATCTATCTATCTATCTATCTATCTATCTATCTATCTATCTATCTATCTATCTATCTATCATCTATCTACTTATACATCTATTGCAATTTGTAATTTAATTTCAATCTACTTACATCGTAAATTTCTTTAGCACATGACTTTGGTTTTTCTAAAATAATACCACGTTGGACACGTTCAACAACTTCGGTATTCTTTAGACGGCCATAAGGCATTTTGCCGCATGTGAACACCTCCCACATAAGGACACCTTTAACAAAAATAATTATATTAAATATAAAATAAAACTCAAAAACAATCGTCACAAAAAACCCACCATAAGCCCAAACATCTGATTTAGAGGAGAAACGTGTATAATTCAAGACTTCTGGTGGAGCCCATTTAATAGGAAATTTGGTTCCGCCAGAACTGGTATATTGATCGTCTAAAACATAACGGGCCAAACCAAAATCTGCCACCTTAACAACATTCTCAGAACCGACCAAACAATTACGTGCAGCCAAATCGCGATGTATATAATTGTGACGTTCCAAATAGGCCATGCCTTTGGAGACCTAATAAAAAAACATAATTTTTAATTTTTAATTAATTATACACATATGCTATATCCTTTAAAGAAGAAAACATACCTGTATGCACATATCCAACAGCAAACCCATATTACCAATCAATGTTGTCTCATGACGTCTGAGATAATTTAACAATGAGCCATGTTTCATGTATTCAGTGACTATATAAATAGGACGATGTTTAGAGCAAACACCATATAATTGCACCAAATTTGGATGTTGCAATTTGGTCATAACTTTGGCCTCTTCTATGAAATCATCCTCGGACATGGTGCCCTCTTTCATCATTTTAACAGCGGTATCTATAGAACCACGCCATTTACCACGGCGCACCACACCAAATTGTCCCGAACCAAGTTCTTCCGTTAGCATTAACTCCATAGGATGGATTTCCCATTTATCTTTTAAAGGAATAGATTAATGTTAATTAATTAGTTTTAATTTATAGTCATTAAAGTGTTTATACTTACCATGTGATAAACCGGCTGTTGGTGGTACTGGACGATCGCATGGTGAGGATTTTAGACGACAGGCTAAACCACCCGAATTGTGTCGATGATAGTTGATTAGATCTGGTATGGTTTCGCAGCAATGCTTCTCACTTAAATAGTATTCTCCGCGAGCGTTTTGTTTAATGTGATAGTGTTTGACATGTGATTGGGGACTGTGAAGTATAAGGAGATTTTCATTAATATAATAATGTTTTCAATAGAATTTCGAAAATATACAAAATTTCGAAGAGATTCGATTTTGTTTAAGGCACCAGAAAAATAATTAAGTTTTCTACTTACACTTTGGTATGCAGCGATAGTGTGTATAAACCTTTTGTTGATGATTTACGCACCACAAAACAGCCTTCTTTGTCGCCTTGTTTTAACAAGGATTCAGCCCGTTGACGTGACATATCACCAACGTACCATCTGTAAATAAAAAGTACAAAAATTAAATTAAATTTTTCATTTTTATCCTCCAATTTCTATAAAAGGGAAATAATTCTTTAATTCCTAAAGGTTTTCATCGATTTTAAGTTTTGAATTTATAATATATAAACCCACTTGGAACGGGTTTAGAAATCGGCAGAGTAGAGCACACACGATGGGCAAAGTTTTTATTGAAACTATTGGTCTTAATTAGCTATGTCCTATGCCCATGTTTATGGCAAGATATGGATTCCGGGTCAAAAGAACTGCTCTTTTTTATGAGAGAGTTCTACATCCATCGATCGAAACTAATACGGAGCAGGATCTGGATCACTGCTTTCTAAACAGGTTTCACATATTCGAAAGCGATCAAAATGTTTTTAAAGTTCTATTGAGGATTCGATCGCTTTCGAGTGGCCTCTTGTTTTTTTTTCGAAAAATGCCCTATTCCAAACAAAGCAAACACAATCGGTACAGTTTCACAGTAATGTTCTGATTGGACTCTTTGTTACCATCAGAGCATAATCTTCACGCAATGATTGATGATGTTGTTGTAACAGATTGGCTGTGACTAGATGTTCTTCCCTAGGGAACAAACTTCCGGTTGATACAGCTGTTGTTGAGTTGACAATCTTTGGCCAATTGAGAATCGGGTCGTTCTGGAGCGGAGATCCAATTGTCGTGGGAACGATTCGGCTAGTTTGCCGTATTTCAGGATTACCGTAATGGATCCATTTTTCATTCCAAGACATTAACTCATTTCCAATATTTCGCACCACTTTCACTCCACTGAGGATCATCAGTGGCCGTTTTCGCTAACTGCACCGAACTTATACCAAAATATTCACCACTATTGCCAATAGAAGTGAAATTTTTGTTACTTTAACATTTTCTTTCCTCTCGAAGGAAAAATTGCTATCTTGAGCTTGTCGTAAACCATTCATTCACAATAGTTGATTTTGTTTGCAACAGCTGTTCATTGTTTACAAATTTCTATTAAATTTCACAACAGGGAAATTTGTTTCAAGTCAAAAAAGTTAGTGAACGAAAAAAGTGAAAAGGAAACATATTTCATGTGAAATATTGATTGGTGATAGGGGGGTGATTTATTTCATAATGTATCAACATTGTCTAACTACGATTTGGTTCCAATAACACCAAGAAGAGTCCTCTAAAATAGCCGACACAAGGCAAATCCCGAATTCTGGCCTATGGGTCAGATAGAATTTATGGTTCGACTGCGAGCACAGGGAATGCCCGAGGAGTCAAATAACAGCAACAGCTTCTAGTCCTGGCAGACTAGAGGTACTCAAGGCACCTTTTTTAACCCGGCATTGCAATAACAACCAGATAAGAGAAGATTCATCAAGATAACTTGACGAGGGAGGAATATAATTATATAAAACTAAGTGAAAATATAATACAGCTATGAAAACTTCAAAATGACATCTACTAAGTTACTAAAGACAAAAACCGAGTTCAAAATTTTGCCATCTATTATAAATCCCGCTTGTTTAAGTTATTTACCCAATATTTAAGAAATGGAAACAAAAGTGCTAACAGTAATTACTTACTCGTATCTTTCTAAACCCAATAATGCTTTGGGTTTAACATAATTACTGGGTATGTAACCAACATTACCCATGGCATCTTTAACTTTCCACCAATGCTCTTGGGAATCATCAATTACTTCATATTCGGCATTCTAGAAAAAGACGAAATATAAATTAAATTAGAATCAGTTCTGCAGGTGATAATTTTGAAAGAAAATAAGAAAAAACTTACCTTTTCCAAAGATAAATCCCCTCCCTCAATGGCTTTGAAGGGATATAAAGCTACGACAAGTTTAACAAAATGTGAATTGTCCTAAAAATACAAAGAAAAAGAAAGAAAGTTTAATATTTATAAAACACATATCAAAAAACAATAAGAAATACTTACCTTAGCTTTTGAATTTGGTGTTCCTGGAGTTGGTATACCACCTGGCATTGTGTTATCCAATAATGAACCGTTACCGTTTAATAAATTTGGTGACTGTTTAAATGTGGATACCGATGACTAAAATAATAAAAGAATAAATAATTTGTAAAATTAATATGTTTATACAAAACAACCATTAAAAATTTGGACAAATAATTAATAATATGTAGTTGTTGTAGTTTTTGTTAAGTAAAAATAATTTTACCTGTGGGTGCAGTGAAGTAGGCGTTGAACTACCTAAACTGCCAGAACTATTATGATGCAAACTAAATTGACTTGTTGAGGTGGAATTATTTGGACTAATGCTGCGTTGTGAAATCTGGGCGGGCGAACTGCCAGTACCTAAAAAGATAAAGAATAAGAAAAATAAAATAATTAGTATGTTTAATTTTAAGTAAAAACTAAATTTTAAATTATCAAAGAATTTCATTAATTTTTTTAACAATTAAATTAATTAATCTGTTCAGTTTTATTTATTTTAAATATATTTAATATATTTCAAATCTTTTGTTTATGTTTTCAAAATTTCCAAATTATATTTTTTATTCATCTAGTATTAGCAACTGATAAAAATTTGTTAGTTTATCAACTAAGTTCGTTGCTTAAGTCTTTTGTTTTGTTTGTTCGTTAATTACAAAACGGAATATGTTTAAACTTGAATTTGGGTCTTGGGTCACTTGTTGCAGTTTCAATAGATGTAATTAAAAGATTTTATTTTAGTATTTAAGTTTAATTTTGAAATGGCTAACACGTGGGAATTAGTTATACATCAAATCAAACATAAAAGAAATATAATTTAGGACAAATTTGCATAGAAAACAAAACAGAAGCAAGTTTTAACTCTTAAACATAGAGTAGTTAAATTTATATCTTTATTATGAAAGTTTTATATTTCTAATCTCCTTTCCCTTTCAATTTTCAAGCTAAAAAGAGTAACACTTTCTTCTAATTTGCAACATTTTGCACACAATTTTTCCATTTTCAATAATAGTTTTGGCGATTCATGTTCTTTTATTCTACAAATCAAAAGTTTAAGTGATTGAAACTGTAAACAAATATTAACATTTAAACAATTAATTGAAAGCAAAACGTTTAAACAATATAGAATAGTGTTTAAATCTTTTGTTTTCCCATGCATCTGTTTCTTTTGTCAAACTTAATCTGAATTTTTTTAAAGAAAAGAACAATCTAAATGTTTAAACGATTTAAGCAATAAATTAGTATGAAATCAAATGAAATAATACGAGGGCAGATCAAAAAAATTTCGCAAGAAAGAGAACAATAAGATTTCTAGAAATAGTTTTTTTAAAGCAAATTTTTTTGTAAGAAATCTATTATTTTCTAAAATAACTAACCTACTACTAACTACTAACTAACTAACTACTAACTAACTAACTAACTAACTAACTAACTAACTACTAACTAACTAACTAACTAACTAACTAACTAACTAACTAACTAACTAACTAACTAACTAACTAACTAACTAACTAACTAACTAACTAACTAACTAACTAACTAACTAACTAACTAACTAACTAACTAACTAACTAACTAACTAACGAACTAACGAACTAACGAACTAACTAAAAACGAACGAACGAACGAAACGAACGAACAACTAACTAACGAACGACTAAGAACTAACGAACTAACTAACTAACTAACGAACTAACGAACGAAATAACTAATAACACTAACTAACTAACTAACTAACGAACTAACTAACAATAACTAACGAACGGAAAAACAACTAATAACGAACACGAACGAATGGACAACGAACGAACTAACGAAACGAACAAAAACGAACGAACGACGAACGAACGAACGGGGGAAGAAAGCGAGGAGGGCGGAAAGAACGAACGAACGAACGAAAAAGAACGAACGAAGGAACGAACGAACGAACGAACGAACGAACGAACGAACGAACGAACGAAACGAACGAACGAACGAAACGAACGAACGAACGAGACAACGAACGAACGAACGAACGAACGACCGAACAAGGAACGACCAAACGACCGAACGAAGAAGGAACGAACGAACGAAGAACGAGCGAACTAACTAACTAACTAACTAGCTACTAACTAACTACTAACTACTACCTATCTATCTATCTATCTATCTATCTATCTATCTATCTATCTATCTATCTATCTATCTATCTATCTATCTATCTATCTATCTATCTATCTATCTATCTATCTATCTATCTATCTATCTATCTATCTATCTATCTATCTATCTATCTATCTATCTATCTATCTATCTATCTATCTATCTATCTATCTATCTATCTATCTATCTATCTATCTATCTATCTATCTATCTATCTATCTATCTATCTATCTATCTATCTATCTATCTATCTATCTATCTATCTATCTATCTATCTATCTATCTATCTATCTATCTATCTATCTATCTATCTATCTATCTATCTATCTATCTATCTATCTATCTATCTATCTATCTATCTATCTATCTATCTATCTATCTATCTATCTATCTATCTATCTATCTATCTATCTATCTATCTATCTATCTATCTATCTATCTATCTATCTATCTATCTATCTATCTATCTATCTATCTATCTATCTATCTATCTATCTATCTATCTATCTATCTATCTATCTATCTATCTATCTATCTATCTATCAATAAGTTTATGGGCAAAATTGTACCAATTTCCCGTAAAAGGCCCACATTCGAAAACTATTCTAATGTTCATATTGAACATTAGTATGGGTTTCTTAGAATCTTTTTGTTTACTTTTGCGTACCTCACTATTATTTAAAATCAATTAATTATTAAAATTATAGTTTTTACTTTTATTTCAATAATCTTTTTAACACATTATAGCTTTTAACCTGTCTATCTGTCTTATCATCATCTTTGGGGTGTTAATGATATTGATATTATAAAAAAAAACATTTAGATTTCATATACAACCTTGTGTTTTTTTTCATTTTCTTATTTAATTTATCGTCTATTAATTGATTTATATAAAATTTTGAAGATGTTTCAACGATCACTTGCTATGATTTGTTTTAGGAAGTTTTTAACACTCATTAGATATGATCGTAATGAATCATAAAAAAAATTTAATATTTTTCCACATATTAAGCAAATAATAACATGCATATACATGTTTTTTTTGCAATTTAGTGTTTTTATTAACATATTAAAAATATATTAACAATAAAAAATAATAAATCATTAAATTGGTGGGCAAAAATTTGCTGTTATAAAGAAAACATTATATTAAGGGTATTCAAATAAGGAATTTTTGAAATTAAAATTTTCCATAATTTTTTAAATTTTTATTTTTATAATAATTTTTAATTATAATACAATGGACAGTTTTTAACAAATTTTTTTTGTTATAAAAAATAGGTGTGTATTTGTTAATCCAACTGAAATAGTTGAAATTAGTTGCTTTTGTTGTTTTTTTTCGTAAAATTTTTAATTACAATTTCATAGTAAACATTTATGTCTGTGCCTTTGTTTACATTTCAAAACAAATCAATTTATTTCGTTTTGGGAAGTTGAAAATGCATTTATATTTAATATGCAAAATGCGTAAACATTTTTTTCAACATGCGTTTTAAACATTAATTATTGATTTTTTTTTCACTAAAAATTTCCATTTAACCTCGTCTGCCTTAAAGTTTTAGTTATTTAGCTATATTACTACGCACAAGTTGTCATTTGTCAGTTTAAAACTGGGTAGATAACACTGGTTTACAGTAAATTTAAAATATAGAATTTCATAAAATATATTAAGAATTTATTCCTCAATTAATAATTTTAAAACGTTTTTGGAAAGCCAAATAATTAAGCTTTCTAATTATATATTATATATTTTCATTATCACTTAAATTTGTAAAGAAATTTTTCATTTAATAAGAGAAAATTTGTTTACTTTTTTGTATTTTCCTAACTTTGTCTACTATTTTCTATTAATTTTTCTATGAAATCATTTATTTTGAAATAACTATATTGAAAGAGATTTTTATTGTGAACACAACAAGATTTAAATTTTTTAAATCGGTTTAAAATTATAGATTCTGTAGCAATTTTCCCTAAGTACCTTTTACTTCTCACATACTTTTTATTTTACCACCTAAAAGTATGCTTTAAAAAGACAGCAGACAAATCAACTATTTTTTAATGAGTGCATGAAAATTTTATGATGGTTTTAGAAAATCATTGATAACTTTTTTAATTTTTAACCGATTTTAATAAATGATATCTCATTTTATTGCAAATAAAATCATCTTTAAATCTATGTAAATAGCTGTATACAGTTTTATAGAAAATTTTTGAAAAAATTTAACTTAAATTGCAAGAAATTTTTTGTTACATTGTGTAATTAAGTTAGTTTTGAAATACAATTATTAGTTAATTTTTATTGTGTTTTCTACGATTTGTCATATGCAGTCAGACTTATACTTTTATAATTAAAAAAATGTTTTATGTATTTTTTTTATACACATGTTTATTTATTGATTGATTTGTGAGTTGAATTTAAAGTGATAAAAATCTTATAAAGTTCATTCACTTGAATGACAAATAATAAACAACTTAAAAACATAAATCAAAAGAAATATTAAACATATTAAACGGCGCACATCAAGGGCATTTTGTAAATTCTATTAAAAAAATCACTTAAATAAAAAATTCTTTAAAATTTATTAATATTTGTAAGTTGTTTAAAATTGTTTTTAAAAACAATATTGAAAAATGTATGAAATTTGTCTTGAATTCCTAAAAATTTTATAATTTTAAAAATGTTTATATATTATTTCCATCCCTGATTTCAGCCGTTAATTAACAATGTGGATATGGAATGACAATCTTATATAAAACCTTCCTTGTAGTACAAGTACAAGCTGTTTTGATATTAGATTCTTATAAAATTTCAGTATTATATTTCTAATATAATTTACAAAAAAAATTTATAATTTTAAAATCTATCTAAAACAGTTTTATATTAATTAAACTAGCTTTTATTGCTATTTTTTCATAATTAAATTTAAAAAAACAAGTATAGTAAATGTTACACTCTCAAACTTCTTGTAATAACTTAATTCTCAAACAATTAACAACAGGTGTCGATAGATTTGTTTGTTTTTTAAGAAAAAAATTTACTTTGTTATAAGTTAACTACAGAAATATAAAAATTATAATTAAATTAATTAATTAGTTTTTGTTTTCACTTTTTTTTAATTGTGTTCATGTTCTAATTTGTTTTGCAAATTTTATTCTATTTTTTTGCAACAATTTGTTTAATAACGGATATATAAACGTATTAGTTGTTTTAGATTTTAAAT